CCGAATTACCAAATAGGCATTCAACAATATTTATGTAATAACTTATATATAAATATTTAAATATAATATATATAAAAATAAATACATAATGAAATATATATATATATATATGTATATATAAATATATTTTGAAATATATTATAAATAACGATATATGTATACATAAATATATAAATATTTATACATTTATGGCAAAAATATATAAATATATTAATACTTACTACCTATGTCCCACTAAGATTGGGTCAAGAGAAGGTGGTACGATTATTAAAAAAAGTCGATTTGTGTGGTTGATATTAAATTGATAAAGTAAGAATAAACTAAAAATGATTTAGAGCCACACAAGCTTTACCATATTTGGTATGGCTGTATGGGACAATCTTAATGGGATTTCCCGAAAAGGTAAAACGGAACAATCTTAGCGGGACGGGGGGCGTCATACATATATATAAATATATATATATATATATATATATATATATATATATATATATATATATATATATATATATATATATATATATATATACACATATACATATACATACATACTACATAACAAAACATATATATATACACACACACACACACACATATATATATATATATACAAATATTTATATATTTATGGCTAAAATATATTATATTTAATATTTATTATTTTATTTATTTCGGTATTCGGTACATACTGAAAACCAAAATATTTATACGTACCGAAATTTCGGTATCGGATTGGTTCGGTCGGTTTACCGAATTGTGAACACCCCTAGTAAACGCTCCACTTTGTAGCCGCAAATTACTACCTTTCTCCATGCTATCTATTAATAGATCTCATATTAATGAACACTTGTATTGATATTTGATATGAGTTATCGATTAGGATGAAAATGAAAAAAATGAAAATGAAAAACCACCAAATCAATATAGTATAGTAATAATTGCATAGGATTATAGCTCGCACATTTGAAGGTTGGTTAGTTCATGATGCAAAAGAGTAGCTGTATTAATACGAACATATTTCCCAACTCTTTTTGTATTTGTTAATAAAAGAACAGAAGAGTAAAAGTGACATGGGGGAATATATTATATACTCGTAAGAAACTATTCCGCATCAGTACCTTGGTCTTTTGAAATAACCAAAGCCCATCATCTGAGAACATCTGGGAGCAAAAATGTGCAGCCCATCTCTCCTCCTCCCAATCCTTCCAAGTTGAAGATGTCGTACCAATAGTAGGGGGGCGGAGGGAGTATTACTTTATTATCTCCTTTACAATCACTTTCTCTCTCCCACTATACTTTATCTATTTTTTGTAGGGATATGATGGGAAAGTCAAAACAAAAAATTCCACTTTCTTAAAAACCATAAAGTCAAACCATGAAGATTATTTAGGACCAGAGGGAGCACAAGGCCCGGGTTGATCGGTGCGCTGGTTATGTGGGCGGGTCGTTTCCCGATCCAAATTTTACAATATAGCATAACACCCCTTTAAATTTTCAGACATATAAATATATTAATACTTACTACCTATGTCCCACTAAGATTGGGTCAAGAAAAGGTGGTACGATTATTAAGAAAAGTCGATTTGTGTGGTTGATATTAAATTGATAAAGTAAGAATAAACTAAAAATGATTTAATTCAGAGCCACACAAGCTTTACCATATTTGCTATGGCCGTATGGGACAATCTTAATGGGATTTCCCGAAAAGGTAAAACGGGAAAATCTTAGCGGGACGGAGGGAGTCATATATATATATATATATATATACATACAAATATTTATATATTTATGGCTAAAATATATTAAATATTTAATATTTAATATTTTATTTATTTCGGTATTCGATACATACCGAAAACCAAAATATTTATATATAAACCTAACTGAATACCGAATTTTCAAAATTATACGTACCGATTACCGAACTGAAATTTCGGTTCGTTATTTGGTACGTGCCGAAATTACGGTATCAGATTAGTTCTGTCGGTTTACCGAACTGTGAACACCCCTAGTAAACGCTCCACTTTGTAGCGTTTCTCGTTTAGGCGTTTTGGACCAAAACGCTATACTAACTCGTCAACTGCCAAACACCTAATTTCAGCGTTTTGACCGATTGAAAACGCCAATTTCAGTCAAACCAACCAATTTTTGGCTGAAACGCCATTTACTAAACATGGCCAATATATACACAAGGTCGTGAACCCATTTACATATATATTGATATGTAAAGGAAATATATCTCTTTCACAAATGAAACCCTTTTTCACTTGCTTGTTTCTTAAAGGTTTCACCCAATGGACTTCTATTTCTATCATAAATATATTCTTTTGTGAAAATGTTTTGCAAAACAAATAATATTGGGCATTTGTTTAGTCGCACAACACTGACAACACACATATCAAAACTAGTAATATATTATTTATTATACATATACAAAACACACACACACATAATTATCATCTCCATATATATACTTGTGGGGAATTTCAGTACATAGACAATTAGACAGAAAAATATATACGTAGTATAACATATGGTGTCTAATTACCAAAAATGATCATTGGAGGGGCTGGTAAGCTAAATAAACATAGTATATATACTTTACTCTTTTCCATACCTTTTTTTTCATTTTTAACATGGAATCATTTGAATTCGTTTAGGCCTGTTCATTCAATGATAGATGGAAGCCCCCCCCCCCCCCCTATTTACTCCTTGTTTTCTTCTCAGTGTTTTGGGCACTTGAAAGACATCATGTTAAGGTTATATTGACTCTCATGGTAATGCATTATTAATCATTAATTAATAAATTATCTTAATTTAGTTTTGTGAAAAAGGTTTCAGATTAGCCATGTCTGGGCAAAGTTATCCAACCCTTATAAAATGTAGTTTGAAGTTTGATGTATCAAACCTCCTCATGATAATATTTGCTCTAGGTATTTGTGATTTTAAAAATGCACTAAAATTTCATGTGTTATAAATATTCATGCATATAATTCCCTTGACCTTGAAGAGCAAATTTAACAAAAAGAAAATAATATTTTTAATGTTGTGATTAAAAACACAAGTAAATTGATTAAGATCTCAAAATTATGGATGCGTGCGGTCATTGTGGGTGCTCCAGAAGTCCCGGATCCGGAATTGACTCGGACTACTACGGTGCCCGGTTTCTATCTAGTTTTCCCGGCTGGTCCCAGTCTGGCCCCAGGTCGGTTCGGGACCTTGTAATTTTTTTATGTTAAAATTAATTTACAAAAAATAATGTATATTTATTTGAAACACTACATTTGGGCTTGTATTAATAACATATTTGCAAATTACAATTGAGAATAGTAAGGGTGGACTGGGTCGGGGGCCGGGCTCTGGGCCGAGATTAGGTGGGCTCATATGTACAGTTTGAAGTAATTAGATGGATTAGTATTATAAATATTAACTTGTCGCTTTATTTTAATATTGATTATGTAAATACTAATATGTGTTGTGTAAAATGTTACGATTTATGATTAAATGTAACGATTTGATTTTCAAAAATCTCTACCGATTCGATTTAAAAAACAATTTTAACAACCTTGCCTCAAAACCAAAATTGATGGCGATTACGGTCATATTTTACTGATCTACAGAGAGATCTACAGAGGGAACTTGAGCAAGTAGAATCTGGACTGCGACCATCAAGACGTGAATTTTCATCCTCACACAGTAGGCAAGTGCTCAACTTATTGGTCTTTTTCAAATTTATACACATATAAAGGCTCCACCATTTAATTAAGTTGATGGTGAACTTTTGGATTGCATGTTAGAAGTTAGAACCTGTTATTTGGTTTGAGATTGAAATACGTCCAGTTGAACAAGTACTTATAATAAGTTTGAACTAGCAAACTCCTCAGTTCATTAGAGATGAGCACTAAATTTTGTGAAACCGCCATTATTGGTATTTATGAAACAAGTACTACCTCTGACCTTGAATTATCTTCCAAATGGAGTTTTACACGTTGATTAAGAAAGTGATAATTGTGTGGTGGAGAGTTGTGTAGAGGAGAGGGGAATGTGTAAGTAAAATGTTGTGAACCAAAAAAAGAAAGAGATTATTTTGGGACAGACCGAAATGGAAAGTTGGAAGATAATTCAAGGACGGAGGGAGTATTAAATTACTACGTGATGGTAAACTCTGACACACCAAAATGATGCGTGTGAAATCCTGCCGACTGATTAGTCTCATGTAGGCCCCGGGAAAGATATCGAGAAAGAGAAAATGGTAGACCAGTAAATGAAGGGACCTTGTTGAAAGCTGCCGCTAATCTGCCTGAGACGACAGTTATGTTAGCGGGACCCAGACAGATCTCAACCCAACCCAACCCGTGACAGACCGGATGAAGTTGGAAATAGTTATGATGATAGCTTTGATGACACGGGAAGTGTCGGGGATGCTGACATGGCATCAGCAATTGATGGAGTGGGGTCTATGAATTTTGGGCCCTCCCAAAAGCAAGGGGGGGTGGAAAGTCTACTCGACAGATCATGGAACGGAGAGAACGTGATGTGGGGAGACGAGAAGGGAAATGGGAAAGGAAATACTAAGCAGTACTAGTAGTAGTTTCCTGTCCTGTTTGAATGAATATATAGAACCTTAATGTTGTATGTAAGAATGTATGATTGATCATCTAGTTTACTTAATATAGCCACACACACATGTATTTCATTTATGAGTTATGACATCGTTTTGACATCTATTCTATTATGAGTTATGACATCGTTTTGCTTATTAAAAATTTAGGTAAAGTCATTTGCATAGAACATTTAGCTTTTACTCCCTCCGTTCCTAAAAATTCTTCCCGGTTTGACTTGGCACGCTTATTAAGAAAGTGGAATAAAATGAAAATGTATGATTGTGGTTGTGTAAGAAAAATGTAAAATGAATGTGAGCCACACAAATTGTCCAAAATGGGAAAGTGAGAAGTATTTTTGGGAACAACCCAAAAAGGAAAGTGGAAAGTATTTTTGGGAACGGAGGGAGTATATCAATAAATGCTATAGAGAGTATTACATTTACAAGTTAATCACACGTTTTTTAAATATTCATAATAACATTTACATTATAATGTATCACATTTACATTAAATATAAATTATTAATAATATAATCTCTTACATATTGCATATACGTATTTACATATTTTATAACGGAATTTACATAAAAATATAGCATATGTAGAAATATAACACATTATATCAATCACTTCTGTACCAAAAGTGTACAAAAGTTATAAGACAACTTGCCAGCACCGTTCATGCTTCAAGGGACCGAGGGAGTGCGTTGTATAACAATTGGTATATCACCACGAATGGTGAGTGGTGCCTCTCCTAAGCCTTCTGCGAAATGGCCTGCATGCCTCACCACTAAGATCAACAGCAGCTGCAAGTGCCATAAAAATGGCGGCGTCCTCCACACAAGTCACGTGTCTCATCGCCAGTTGCACCACCAGCTTGCTTTGCACCCTACACCTCATTACAAACCCCCCTCCTAAAATGGGACCCAACCCCGACGACAAGTCATCACCGCTACTTCTTGGGCTCGGCACCGGACCCACCACCCGTTTTTCAGTGTCTATGTAAAACTCCCCGCCCTTCTCGGCACCGATGAGTATCTCTGACATGATAAGATCCTCGCCACCTTCCTCAGACAGAAGGCGGAAGCGGCAGCAGACGGAATCTTTTATCCCGCCGCGTTCCCGCCACGCTTCCAGTTTCCCCCATGGTTGCCAGCTGTCGGGCGTAAAAGGATCGGGCCGGACGATCAACCAAGCTCCTGGGTTGGACCGGTCCACCCAATCACGACCCGCTGACGGCACGAATGGCGTGGTTATGAAGGCTGCGGCAACAGCTGATCCAGAGAGGTCGTGTATGGTTACCTTCCACCCTTTCCTCTCCCTTCTTTCTGTTTCAAGGTAGGAGCTATCGACGAAACCAGCGGACAAAAAGTTGCTCAGGGGATCCACCTGCAGGACCCTGTCATTTCAAAACCACTTTGAGCATTTACATTAAGGAATGCTGTGTGTGCCAACGGTCAAGTATAAGATAGGGTCTGCACATTAAGCCATGGACTATAAACTCTTTGGAGCTTAATTGGTTCTATAATCTATTAAGACATCCAAAACCTTATATACAAATTTGAAATGCCTGAATTTGTTAAAAAAAACTGTTTATACTATTTTTTCATATGTGTTTTCCATTATTTTATTAGTAAAAAATATTTTAAATATCATTTTTGAACAATTCAGCATATTTAGCCGTTTCAGCCAGAATTTAACCGATTTCAGCAGATTCAGCCGTTACCAAATGAGTTCTGAATCTTTCTAATTGGCCAATATGAGACGACATATCATTTTTCAAATAATTATGTGAAAGATCTAGGTCTAATTAAAGCGCCCTAAGCAGGGGAGGAAATAGTCAGTCAAGAACAACCTTAGATGAGGATTTTTACCATAGGAACAAGCAAATGCGATTATGTATTAAACATATGTAAGTTTGGTTAATCTTCCTTGTATATTTTTGAGCCATCCGGCAATGATATATATACAAGTTACAGATAAGGTTAAGTTGTTACAGATCCTAAAAAGTAGGATCTATCTATTCTATCTATTCTGAGGGCTAATCTAATAATTAGAGACCTCTATCTACTCTAATTCTTATCTATACAGTCCCGGATGTACAAATAATAAAATAACATGTAAATGCTACATTTTTCTACACTCCCCCTCAAGTTGGTAAGTATATATCATACATTCCCAACTTGCTTATAAGAAATTCAAACACTGGTTTAAACAGCCCCTTTGTAAAGATATCAGCTGTTTGTTCTTTGGTAGATATGAATGGTGTGCACACAATTCCAGCTTCAATCTTCTCTTTTTTAAAATGTCTGTCCACTTCAATGTGTTTAGTACGATCATGTAGCACAGGATTGTGAGCAATATTAATGGCTGCTTTATTGTCACAATATAACTTCATAGGTAGTTCCATTTCCATATTCAATTCTGACATCATTCTCTTGATCCAAAGTAGTTCACAGATTCCATTAGCCATAGATCTGAATTCAGATTCTGCACTACTTCTAGCAACCACATTCTGCTTCTTACTCCTCCAAGTCACTAGATTCCCCCATACATAGGTACAATACCCAGATGTGGACCTTCTATCAGTTATTGAACCAGCATAATCTGCATCTGTAAAAGCTTCTACACTTCTATTGTCACTTCTTTTAAAAAATAATCATTTCCTTGGACAGCTTTTCAAATATCTTAGGATTCTGTAGGTAGCATCTAGATGTTCCTGGAATGGATTATGCATGAATTGACTAACCATACTGAATGCAAAGGCAATATCTGGCCTTGTATGTGCCAGATAAATCAGCCTTCCCATCAATCTTTGATATTGGTGAATATTAACTGATACTCCTTCCTTGACATTTCCTAACTTTTGATTAGGGTCAATTGGAGTATCAATTGGTAGGAGTAGGTCTAGTACATACTTCCTCTGAGATACCACAATTCCCTTCTTTGATCTGGCTATCTCCATGCCAAGAAAGTACTTCAATTCTCCCAGGTCTTTGATCTCAAATTCCTGAGCAAGCTTCTTCTTCAGGTCTTCAATCTCTTTACAATAGTTTCCTGTAAGAATGATATCATCCACATAAACAATTAGTACTGCAATCTCTCCCTTAATGGAGAATTTCATGAATAGTGTATGGTCTACTTGGGCTTGCTTGAATCCCTGCTTCTTTATGAATTGAGTAAACCTTTCAAACCAAGCCCTTGAGGACTGTTTAAGTCCATATAAGGCTTTCTCCAGCTTGCACACCTTTGAGCCATATTGTTCCTCAAACCCAGGAGGGGGGCTCATGTATACTTCCTCTTCAAGCTTCCCATTTAAGAAAGCATTCTTCACATCTAACTGTTGAAGAGGCCAATCTAGGTTAGCAGCTAGAGATAGAAGGATTCTTATAGTATTTAATTTTGCAACTGGAGCAAAAGTTTCTGTATAATCTATGCCATAGGTTTGTGTGTATCCTTTGGCTACCAATCTGGCCTTATATCTTTCAAGTGTACCATCTGCCTTGAACTTAGGGGTAAATACCCATTTGCATCCCACTATTGGTTTGTTTTTGGGTACTTCTACAGCCTGCCATGTCTGATTCTTTTCAAGAGCATTAATTTCTTCTAAAACAGCCTTCTTCCACTCAGGTATAGATAGAGCTTCCTGTATGGTTAAGGGAATAGAAACAGTGGAAAGACTAGAGGTAAAGGCTGCAAATGATGTAGATAACTGAGAATAGGACACATAGTTTGAGATAGGGTATTTAACACATGATCTCTTTTCTTTTCTGAGAGCAATGGGTAGATTTAGATCACTGAAATTATTACCTTTGTCATTTTCTGACATTGAGTCAGATTCATGGACAGTGGCAGGATCAGGGATGTCCTCTATTCTTTGATTTGGAACTCTCCTTTCATAAACCTTGCCAAAAAACTTACTTGTCTGCTGTTCATCATCTTTCCTTGTTCCAGAAAAATTTATTTCATTTTCTTTTGACTCTTGACTATTTTCTAGTGCATCTAACTGTCTATTATATTGTGCATCTAGACTAATGTCAAGAGATTCAAGTTTTTCATGGATATGTGACACATTATCACCATCTTCATTAGGAATCTCCCCCTGAAGATGAGTACCAAAAAAAGATTGATTTTCAACAAAAAAAGTGTTCATTGTTACAAACATCTTTTTTGTTATAGGGTCAAAACATTTATAGCCTTTCTGTGTTGAAAATAGTCCTAAGAAAACACATTTTTTGCCTCTAGGATCAAATTTGCTTGCAGTTCTGTCAGGGTTGGTAATAAAAACTGTGCAGCCAAAAATTTTTATGGGAAGAGAATTAATAAGCCTAGTTTCAGGAAAACTGGCTTGAAGGGTATCAATAGGAGTTTAAAATCCTAGAGTTTTTGATGGCATCCTATTAATTAAATAGGTAGCATGTAAAACAGCTTCTCCCCATAAATATTTTGGATTTTTAGCAGAAAACATAATTGCACGAGTGACTTCAAGCAAATGTCTATTTTTCCTCTCAGCTATACCATTCTGAGCAGGTGTATTTACACAGGAACTTTGATGAATAATTCCTTTTTCAGCAAAAAAATTATTTAACTTCTTAGAAAAATACTCAAGACCATTATCACTTCTCACAATTTTGATATTAGTGTTGAATTGAGTCTGGATCATTGAGTAAATTTTTTTTGAACACCTCTTCAACCTCAGATTTTTCTTTAAGTAAAAAAACCCATGTGACCCGTGTGTGATCATCTATAATAGTTACAAACCACATTTTTCCTTTCAGAGTTGGAACTCTAGATGCACCCCAAATATCACTGTGTACTATAGTAAAAGGACTAGTTGGCTTGTAACTATGAGGGATATAAGAACTCCTATGATGTTTGGAAGTGCACACATATCACAATGAAATGATGAAGGATTTTTATTATGAAATAACTTAGGAAACAACATTTTCAGATAAGAAAAACTTGGGTGACCTAATCTATAATGCATTAAATACACTTCATCATTACAAGGAAAGGAAATAGTTTGCAGACAAGTTTTTTCTTGACCTTGTTTATTCAATTGTGTTTCTTCATCAAAAGTATAGAGGCCATCCTCCTCTCTAGCACCGCCAATCATCCTCCCTGATGCCAGATCCTGAAAAATGCAATAAGAGGGATAAAACTTTACACAACACTGAAGGTCTTTGGTTATTTTGCTAATAGAGATAAAATTGCAGGAAAGTTTTGGAACATGTAAGACTTTGGAAAGGTTAATGGATGAGGAAATTTTAATATTTCCCATCCCTGCTATGGCTGAAAAAGAGCCATCTGCAACTCTAACTTTCTTATCTCCTGCACAAGGTTGATATGAAGAAAAAAACTTTGGAATGTAGGTCATGTGGTCTGTTGCACCTGAGTCAATGACCCAGGTGTTTTTTGGTTTTTCAGAACAAAAAAATGATGTTATTTTACCATTTTGGGCAAAAGAACAGGTAGGGTTTTCTTGGTTGGAGATTTTCTGGGTGGGTATAAATTTGAGTAGGTACTCTATCTGTTCCTGAGTGAATGGTAGCTGTTTAGATTCAACTCCTGACTCTTGTTGAGTTTCAGTCACAGTAGTTTGTAGGGCCCTCTCTACTTTCTTCTTTCCAGCTCCTGGTGGTTTTCCATGAAGTTTCCAGCATGTTTCCCTTGTGTGCCACAATTTCTTGCAGTGATCACACCAAGGTTTTTTCTTGTTGTCATCACTTCTGGCCACCAAAGCTGAAGAGTCCCCAGGTTCCTCATTAGGTACTGGAGTGTTGTACATGACCCTCCTCCTGCTATCTTCCAACCTGATCTCAGAAAATACCTCTCTGATTGAAGCCAGAGGTTTCTTCCCCAGTATTCTGCCTTTTACTTCATCTAGGTCTCTATTAATTCCTGTTAGGAACATATAGACCCTGTCATTTTCCTCTCTTTTCTTGTGTCTTGCCAGATCCTTGGCATTTTCCCAGTCTTCAGCATCATAGCATTGGTCCAACTCTTGCCATAGAGATACCATCTCATTATAGTATGAGATGACATCTCTACTTCCTTGTTTGGACTGCCACAACCTTGTTTTTAATTCATAGATCTGAGAGGAGTTCTCAAGATCTGAATAGGTTTCTTTAATTGAATCCCATACCTGTTTTGCAGTTTTCATGAACATGTGAGGTTTGGCAATTGATGCATCAATTGAACTGAGAAGCCAGGCTGTTACCAAAGAGTTTTCTGACCTCCAGACATTGTAGCCATCTTCACCATTCTTCTTTTCCTCTACTTCACCCGTTATGTATCCCAACTTTCCTCTTCCATCTATTGTCAGTTTGACAGACTGTGACCACTCTAGGTAATTGGTTCCATTCAATCTATGTCCACTAATGAGCATAGATGAATTAACCGAGGCCTGGTAATTTGTCATTTGGCTAATTTGGGAGTTAGGGTGATGGGTTTGTGAGTGGGTGGAGGAATCAGAGTGTTCAGTGTCCACCATTGTGGTGTTTTAAACAACAAGGCTCTGATACCATGTAAGTTTGAAGAATTAATCTTCCTTGTATATTATTGAGCCATCCGGTAATGATATATATACAAGTTACAGATAAGGTTAAGTTGTTACAGATCCTAAAAAGTAGGATCTATCTATTCTATCTATTCTGCGGGCTAATCTAATAATTAGAGACCTCTATCTACTCTAATTCTTATCTATACAGTCCCGGATGTACAAATAATAAAATAACATGTAAATGCTACATTTTTCTACAACATAGGTATAGATTTGAAAAATGTTGAAGGTAAAGTGGTAAACTGCAACACTGTTAATATGCATAATCATCATCATCAAACTTCAGCATTACACGCTGAAAGCCAAACAACTAGATTCCCTCCCTGCTAGGAATGCAGGACACACTCATCTGTGGCTTAGATTAGTCACACAACCTGCCGCACAGCAGGACCCGCCTTGTGTAAAAAAGGTGTCTAAAAATAACATCAAAAGGCAAAAAAAGATGCAAATAATTACCGATCTTGACTGAACTTGCAACTGAAAATAGGCTGTTTGATGGTTCCTTGAAGCTGAACTATCTGAGGGCTCAATTTAGTCTTCTCCTCAAATTGGAAAACATATCTCGGGTCGGGATCCAACTTCACCCTTAAATGAAGCTCCACTCCTGTGTTCCCGTCACCCTGCTTGCTCTTCCCAATCCCAATCCAACCGTTGAAAAGAACGGCTGGTTTTCCTTTAACCCACTCAGGACTCACTTCCAACCTAAATGTACCAATCTGTTGTCTCTTAATAGAAACCCCACAATGGGTACCTTTCTGCCCAGTGAAAACAACTATCTCCAGGCAGGTGTGGTTGGTATGAAAGCAGCCAGGCTGGAGTAGTGATTTTACATCCGAGTCCTCGAGATAGAAGCTGGAGGCTGTACTGTTAGAGTCTGGGGCAGCTTCAGGTGAGGGTAAAAAGGGAACAGACATTGTCTGAACGGGAAAACCTCGAAGACGGATCTCACATGAACAAGAAGAAGATATTGGATTGCTTAAGGCCGGTTGGGGGATCCTCAATCCCAACGATCCTATTGATAACCTGATGAAAGACTTGGGATCCATTCTTGGTCACAAGTTCTCCGTTTGCTGCAAGAAAGGTGCCTGCTTTAATTGCAAGAATTGTTTAAGTTCAACACATGAATATTCTCAGGAGATAAAGAAAAGAAGATTAATGCTCCATTTCTTATCCGGAGAATCAACAAAACAAGTAGGTCCTGACTTACTTATTTCGCTGACATGGATATTAGCAAACACTTTCCTTTCAGAAAATTCATTCAATTCAGACAAATAGCCCTTAAACAACGGGCTCTAGGAATGCCATAGTTTTACCATAAGCAATTTGAGCATTTCCTAAGGATCGAGAATATTAAAAGAAAGCACCAAATGCCAAGCACCTTGTGGTTCGATGGATCCCAATGACACTCTCAAAGAGGTCACAGAGTCGAACCTCATCCTAGTCAAGGATGTTGGTATTTAACTAGAATATATACTATAAATTAGAAAGCACACCCAAAATAGGCACCAAATTAACTGAACGAATTTAAAGCAGAAAATTAAGCAGACTCTTAAACCTGTTCTGGCTTGTAAGTTGTAACAACTTATTCCATTTTCCCAAGGGACAAACAAGATATATTCTTGATTAGGATTGATATACATATACATACAAATAAATCAAAAAACATGGATGAATTCACGAAGTGGGGAAAATGTGATTCTCAATAAAAGGAAAAAGCTTGAGCACTTTATCGAGACTTACTTTTACTCATCCCTCATTTGCAGTATAAAGATATTCTGTTTTGGGCGTAGAGAGCATGAAAAAGTTGGATTAAAGCATTCCAAGATAAAAAATGCAAGCATATCAAGTTCACTCCATTTTTTCGTACAAAAACTATGCACCCTAACCACTGTATTGATATGATTACAGTGTGCACAGCCCAACAAATAAGTACCCACCTCAATGAACATTCATGTGACCGGTGACCCCACTACCAAATTGTCGATTTTATCAAGGGAAAATGGAAACTAATAATCCAACCTTTTACCGTCTTATTACAATATTCTCACATTTTCATTATTCATGAATAATCCAACTTTTGCACCCTATCTTCATTCACTGGTCCCTGACAGATTTATGACCTGTTATTCCAAGTTATTTTCTTATCTTTGCAAAATATTATGTGATCATAAGGTGGGAATTATGGTATAATGTTTTACAAAGAAGAAAATAACTTGGAATAACAGGTCATAAACCGTTGAAGGAGCAGGGACCGGTGAATGAAGATGGAGTGCAAAGGTTGGATTATTCATGAATAATGAAAAGGTGGGACTATTGCAATAAGACCCTTAAAAGGTTGGATTATTAGTTTCCATTTTCCCTTTTATCAATACGTAAACCTTCTGTGTTAAACTAGCTAAGAGTTTGTACCCACGAGAGAAACCTTCTGTGTGATTTGCAAAACCAAATTAGATAGATCAAGAAGAGCATTTTCCATACCCAAAAGAAAAATCAGCATTCAAGCACAACCAACACCGGAAACGCAAAAAATGTACAGGGGCAATTCCGCAATTGGGTAGGAATTTAACACAAGAAAAGAACGAAAGAAAAACAATGATCGTACCTTCAGAGAAGAATCAAACCCAGCCCAAAGTCAACTCTGCAGCTTAGACCATCCAAATTTTCCTCCCAAAAGCTCCGGACAACTCATACCTGTCCTAGTAACATTACCCACAGAAGAAAAATCCGAAAAGATTGGATCTTTTTCGCCTATAACTATACATGAACCCCAAAACTACAAATGGCGGGTTTCTCACTTTCTCTTGCTATACATACTGTGAATGAATTATGTTGAAATCTTGGATAAATTCTTGAGAACAGGAGGGAGCAAAGATGACTAAGAGCAGCAGCTTAGCGGTTAGCAGCCTACGGAAACCCAAACTCCGAGATTTTCGCGCACACTGTGCAGGGATCACGGGAAAAATACTTGCCTCACTCACTGGGTCTATTATAAACGGAAGTCCGCTGATCACGGACCTCACTCAAATGGGACAGAGCCCATTGGTTCTAGGCTTCTAGCGAGGTGGGAATCCGGATGCTTAGGAAAGGGAGAAATAAAATGTCTCTATGTTATACTCGTACGTAGTAGTAGCTGAAGTGGTGCAAATGCTACTTTCTTTACCTTCCAGAGTAAGTTCTCGATGTTTTTTGTCGGATAACTCGCGTCCAAATCCTTTGCTTTTGAGAGTTTTGTCTTCTATTCTATGGTTGACTAGCGTATGCGAAAGAACTTGGATTTTAAGAATGTAAACGAGCCGTTTTGTGTTCTAATTTATAACTACAGAAGTTAAATCTGATATAACCTGTTTAAATCTGATTTGATTTGTTTAAGTCTGTTCTGGTCTGAAATCAAAAGCCCAAGTAAAAACATGTTAATACCGAAAGAAATGATATGGAAAAAATAGGACAAGTTTTCAAAATCTCTTTCAAATTTAAAATGTTCCAAACAAGAGATTAAAATGATTTTATACTTTTTAAACAAAGTGACTATTATTGGTAATTATAACCAATAACCCCAACTGATCAACTGTCAACCAATAATCACCACCACCGCAGTCAATATGGAGTAGTAGGGCCATTAAGACGCAATAAGAGCATTTACAATGCTACAATGTGCACGATGCACATGTGACATGAGAAAGATAAAAAGATTAAATTTATTACATTTATCTCTCCTTCTTTTCACGGTCATATGTGTTTTTGTTAAGTTTTTCTCAACAATGTCAACACCAATATCTACGTCTAGACATTGACATTGTAAAGAAAAACTTACTAAAAACAATTAAGATCATTCAAATAAGGAGATAGATATTATATTTATTGTTTTTAATTGATTATCTCTCATACCACATGTGTATTCGTTCACATTTTTGCATTGGAGATGCTCTAAACTAATCTTGTATTCAATTAAACTTATTAAACCATTGTTATTCATTTATTAAGCAATTGTTATATTACAATTATTAATTCATTTATATCTAAATATATACTCCTTCCGTCCCTTAAAACTTTGTCATCTTTCTAATCGCACCATGCCCGAAATATAAAACTACCTCTGTCCCGGTGGACTTTTTCAAGTGCAAAGTAGGTGAGAAATAAGAAAAGTAAAAACCATGTGTGTGGATCGTTGCGCTTACCGCTACACTAAAAGTAATTGCTGATAGTGTAGCACGCTCATTTACCTTTATAGCACAAGCGAAGCGCCACGTTCTTTCCCCCTTTACACCAGCAGGATGGCAGATTGTCGGCACCGCATACCCCGCGGCACACGGCCCAACAATCTCCCCCAGCACCTATCAGCCTTAGCTGCGCAGCATGCTGTCGCCGGGGGTCGAACCCGTGACCTTGGCTCTGATACCACTTGTGGATCGTTGCACTTACCGCTACACTAAAAGCAATTGCTTTTATGGTGTCCAATCTAATTAAATATCTTTGTATTTGTGTAGTTATTAATTAAATGTGTAATACGGGCCACAAATGTGTATCATCCCGTTAGCTTCTTTGTAATCCATAAGTTAGCCAACTTCTCCTATAAAAGGAGGCTAACTTATGGAAACTCAAACGATTGAGGCTTTAGAGAATAGAGATGCAGAGATAGAGAGATTAGGTTTTCCGCTGTTCTCTCTCGAGGGAGAGCAGCGACACTTATCACGGTATACCAGATTCGTTGAATATCTCATATCTTTCTATCTGCTTCTTCTTCTTTATCTGCTATCAATTGGTATCAGAGCCAATGCGTGAAACAGGTTGAATCTATCTTTGATTTTTTGGATCTAACGAAGAACTGTTCTGCTTTTCTTCTCCTTTTCTTCAATATAAAGTTTTGCTCCTGTAATCTTGTTTATGAACGAAAATCTGTAAAAAATATACTGTTGGAATCGCCTCTTCAAAACGATTCTACAGCATATCTTTTTTTTTATTTCTGCAAATTTTCAATTTCGAAGAACTCTACATGAAATCTCGAGTTTATGCTTTTACATGGCTGCAGAAACGATTTTGACTTGAAACAGATACAGGAGTATTAGTCCCCTAGATTTTGATGTTCCGTTCTTTTGATGATGCCAAAAGCTCTTCTAATGTCACCCCCTTCCTTTAGTAGCATTCAAATGATTGTATTTTGCTTGCTGGTTGCACTAAGTGAAATGTTTCCAAAAGTGTCCCATCCGAACTATCTATTAACAAATAAATATAACTGGAAAAACATAAGAAGCAATAAGATAATATTCTATTATCTTAACAAAGGATTTCTCATAAATCCAATCGGTTAAATTCATTTGTTACAACAAACATTTCGAACAAATAAACTATTTATTAGAACTGGAATACAAAATGCAATCAGGTAATAATTCTTACCTTAATAGGATTTGTTATCCTACCAGTTAAATACTTGGTTTATATTCGAAATGTTTGATGGGCCATACACAACCAAGAGTGACCGAAAGTCAAAAGAAAAATATTTGTATTAAGTAAATTATACCGGCAAAAGTCAAAATGCAATAAGGTAATTTTTACCTTAAAAAGGATATTTAAATCCTACCGGTATATATTTACTTTATCACAAATTAAATTCGTCACAAAAAGGGAAAGGCACATGGTGGGCATTAGCGGTTGATTTGTATCCTGAAGTGACAAATAAATGTACAATTTGTTGATACAAATAAAATAATACCGGAAAGTAAAAAATGCAATAAGGTAATATTTATTTACCTTAACAGGATATTTTAGATCCTATCGGTATATTTTATTTGTACACAAATAATATTAGTCACAATAGGAAAGGCCCAAAAAATCATACACATTTATTCGTGTATGATTGGAAGACACAGAATGACCAGCATTTAATGCCAAGGGGTCCGAAGCAATGGGGTTCACTCTTTGTAAAGATGCTCTGCGGAGACAGTCGCGGTTATTGCTACAGCACAAGAGACAAACGTACTACTCGTACTCTTCAGAAGTTCAACGGAAGATATCAAACTATCCTAACCAACGGATAAGATCGATCAGTCAAAAAGCCTATAAATAGAGGCTGAAACGAAAGTTTCTAACCAAGCCTGAGCATCCTAAGTAGAGAGATATTTCACTGAGCAAGAAGTGCTATTCTATCCACGACTCTCTGCTTAGACTTTTGCTTCACTAAACTTCTCAGTATTAAGTATTCATTGCCAAAATCCTAGAAGTTTAGTTCCTAGTTGGAGGTTAGAACTTTCTTGTAACAAATCAAAAATTGTTGTAAACACTCAGGAGGACAGTTATTCCCGGCCTGAGTGTGGTTAGATAGGTCAGGAGTACCTTTTGATCCCCACTAGATCAATTGAGAAAAACCTAAAGGATTGAGTAGCTTGGAGTGGTGTTGTACTCCTCGTGAAACACCTTCAATCTAGGCCAGAGTTGTCAAGGCTAGATTGGCACTAAGTGTATTGGGCTTAATACATTAGTGAAATCCATTTGAAATAGGATGAGACTGGATGTAGGAGGATTACACCACCTCTGAACCAGGATATATTGTGTGTTGATTTCCTTAGTCAACAAAGCACACACCCAACACTTCTCGTATAAGAAATTATAGTTTGCCAGCAGCATTTTAAGCAGTTGTCTTAACTGACCCAACTGCTTATCCTACTGCTTAATCACTCACCTTTTCTTGAGATAACCTTTTCACAAGAGCTTCGCAACATCACTGTCTAAAGGTACACTTTGCCAGAAATCACTTCTCTTACTGAAGCAGGTGGCTCAGCAGTTCCCTGGTTTCACTCAACTGCTGAGACCTCTGCTCAGGCAAAAACACCTTAAATCCTTAAGCTCAGTATCCAATCAGAAAGCCATCATCACACTAAACAAGGTCACATAATCACTAGAAGAGTCGCTCTATCAGATTCCAGGAATTCACTCTACAAGTATAGCAGAAGCCTCAGCAGTCCCCTGGTGACCACCCAACTGCTGAGCCCTCTGCTCATACAATCTTACTTCCTGTGAACATCTCAAGTATCATCACAGTCCATTAACATCTCTAGTAAGAAGGCAGTTTGAACCAAGCTACGAATCCCAATTTATAATACAAGCAGGTGGCTCAGCAGTTCCCTCAGTACCACCCAACTGCTGAGACCACTGTTGAAATAAAGCTGTAGCTTCCTTTCAACTAAAGGATATTGTCCCACTACCCTCATCATCTTAAACAATATTCCATTCCCACTCTCATCATAAAGTCTGTATTTGTCTAGCAGTTGCCTCAGCAGTTCCCTACTACCTAGCCAACTGCTTAGCCAACTGTCAAGCCAACTGCTAGCTATCTAAGTCCAATCTTCCCCAGATCAGAAAGTGGTTAAAACACCCATTATATAAAGGGTAAAGACTTCCGCTGTGCATCTATTAATCTCTCCAAAGATTATAGATCAACTCCTCTAGAGGGAAATCTTTGTAAAGGTCGAAAAGATTTAAAAGTCTATTCACCCCCCCCCCCCCCCCTCTAGACTTTTACTCTATCCGGGACCATCAAGTGGTATCAGAGCGGAGTGTTCCTAGAGTCAGTTCCTGACTAATTTGAACTAAAGATCCAAACCACTCAACTCCTCAAACACTTTCTGAAATGGACAAACGGTTGGCAACAGATTCTTTGCCTAACCAAAACATGTTTGATGACTGGAGAACCAAGGATGTCTGGGATGAGCTCTCAATGATTCAATCAGTTGATGATCAAAAAGGCTCGAGTGATGAAAGCAGTTCATCAGGAGATGAAGAAGAGACTCTGATTTGTCTCTATGGAATGCACCATGTTGAAAACTCCTTCAATGACTGCTCTATGGCCAGAACTACAAGCAATGATAATGATGAGGTATTATCTAGTTCTTCAAACAGCTCATTTCACTCTAGTTGTTCCAGTGTTGACATGGAAGCTCTACTCCTTCAATTTGAAAACTTTCAAAAGGACCACCTTCTTGTAATGAACGAAAACTGTAGACTTCAAGTTAATCTAATAGTAGCCCAAGCTCAAATGGGTGAAGTGATAAAGAGAAATGATTTTCTTGAACTCGAAAACTTCAGTTTAAAAGAAAGGTTGAGCTCACTCACTACCCCTATTAGTGAGGAAATCCATCACAACTGGAAGAACACA